GGGGTTTTCAATTTCGTTGATTTTTTTGAAATTCTTGTCATAAATTTGCTTGTATATGAATGTATGTTGGTTTGTGAGCAATTTGAGACCAAGTTCGCTTGATTTGGTGAAGAAATGAACAAATCACCATTTTTGGGTACTACTTGTGCGTGAATGGTATTGTTGTTGTTCTTCATGTTTCCCTTGTAATTTTGCACTTGAAAATGTTGTTGTTGTAGATCATGTAGAAAATACTTTGATATGCAGATCTCTTGTTTTTGTGCAAATTAAAACATGCCTTGTTTTCGTACATGTACTAAATTGTCAGGAAGAACATAGTATCATGCGGCTAGGCAAATTATAGTATTAGTTTGTCATGAAGAAACTAAATACTAGAAATAATCCACTTATTTTGCTAATTTTTAGCCATGAGGTAAAATTTAGCGTATAATGGACATTTTAGCCTTAGGTAGCCCCCTAAGTTGTTTATAGCAAATAACTACATAAACTTAGGAAATGATGCTAAGTATTTAGATTTTAACCACTCCTTTGAGCCAAATAGCATGCCTCGACGAAGAGATTGGGACATTTTTGTTCAAGGCCAGCGCTAGGCCTACCGAGAGGATACCCAATCTTTGCTTGAGGAGGAGGAGGAGGTCTTGAAGCCTGCTCCTCGGGCGTCTACCATAAGTAGGGCGACTTGGACTACACTTCCGTGGATCCCAGACCAGCTAGTGTTCTGTCGTGAGAATTATGTTTCTCACCATCTAATCATCAGCTTAGTTGACGGCACTCTACGTCACCATGGCTCAGGATCGTGGGACATGATTCCTGGGCTCTACCAGCATTATTATGGTCGGCGCTACGACTCACGTTCTATGGACATCGTGTGGTTTGCTTGACTTCTAGGATGTCGATTTTGGATTTTGCAGCCCCCGAGGCTACCGTTCGATAGTTGTTCAAGCTCTGTTGGAGTATTTCTAGGATACTACCAACATTTTCCACTTCTCTTGGGGGGAGATGACAGTGACCCCTTTAGACTTCGGTATTACCAGCGGTTGCGTTTCACAAAGCGACCTTGGTCGACGGACGAGGTAAAGGGCTTGTTGGGCCCCATTGTACAAGTTACCAGGACGTAGCCGTTACCCGCGAATAGTAAGAGGTGTTAGCGGTTAGAGTTGGCGACCTTCCTGGCTCGGGGCTTTGATATAGCTGAGACAATAACCGAGCAGCGAGTAAGGATTTTCGTCTTGATTCTTATTTTGAGGACTCTCCTGATAAGAGTTCTCGCGTGCTTCTTCGATATTTTCCATCGCTGATTAGGATTGCTGAGATCGGCTCCTTTAACTGGGCCAGCATAGGGTACGTTGATCTGCTTGCGTCGCTGCGCTAGGCCTGTCGATAGGGGGACGACATGACTCCTGTCATAGTCTACGGCCTTTCGAGAGTCGTAGAGGTAACAATATTTTCTCATTTGTTTGATTTCTTTTCTTAGACTAATGAACTCATGAATTACTTAGTTGCAGCTTTAATTGTACGAGTACTTTCTCGGGTTGATTCCTCAGCGGGCTCGGGGAGTGGCTCGTGTGTTTTCCATGGCGCAAGCTGAAAGGAATGGTGTCCTTCGAACAAATGTATTATTCCAATAGAGGGTTCATAATCAATTACGGAGTTGATTATTCAGTGAAGTCAAGTGATCAGAAAGTCGAACTAGAGGCCATCTCCGAATAGTGAGATTAATTATATTAATTTCACAGCTTTTCTTTAACTGAACCCAACGGGTCACACCCAAGCGTGCAACCAAACTAAGGCGACGAATTAAGCCAAAGGCTTTAATACGTCAAACAATAGGATACATACTCCGACGTCGGATTCCGAGCTTAGAGCGTCAAAGTCGAACGTCGAGTTAAATTCTAGGAATTAACGAGACAAACAAATAAGTCAAACAACAATAATAAAGTCAAAGTGCATAACCCTAGCCTCGCAATGGCCTAGCTATGCGAAGGCTAGGCTAGCACATGCTGCCATAAAGCTAGCACTGGCCTTGTTTGTGCCACTTGTTGGTTGATTATTTGTTATTTGCATTTTAATTTATTTTTGAATTAAATTAAATGCATTTATTTCTCAACTTTGCAAAGTCCCACATTGATTAGAAATCAAGGGGATGGAGATTTTTCTCCTATAAATACCCAAGGTCTCCTTTGGGAATTGTTGCAAGAGTTGAATTCTATACAAGGCATCTCCATTGAGAAAACCTTATGAAGAGATCCTCTTGTTAGTAGTTTTAATATTACCCTAGCCAGTAATATTAGCCAAGTTTGGGCGCGTGGGTGGACCACGTTGGAAGGGTCGCGTTTGAGGCTCTTTCTCTATTCATGAGTTTGTGTTCATGCTAAGTGGAAAACACGCATCAAAGGTATGATCGTCTTTTCCTCTTTCTCTCTCTATCTCTCTCTCTATTATTATGTGTTTATTATTTAAATAATTGTATGCATGTTTAGTTGCTTTAATTTATGTAGGATCTTTGGGCGGGTATTGTTTCCGCGCGGTGTGGGACATCGCAAAACCCAACACAAGATGGCGTCAGTGGGGCGAGTCGCAAGTTGGCTTGGTAGTAAGCCTTCAAGGGTTGTTGCATCACGGTTCCACCGATGTTGGCATAAGAATCGACCCATTTGCTTCGTTCTTTTTGAATTTGACAATGTGTCTTGAAACTCACGCTTCTTTTCTCTTTTCAAATCCTGATCGAGGTTCAATACCTTCCTTGGACCGATTTTGTTGGTTTGGAGAATGTCTTGGAGATCTCGACATACGATGATGTCTTCTCGCGGCCCGTTTGGTACTTATGGGAACGAATGATCCGTCAGCACAACACTGACCGTCTCGCGGTATTGGTCCTTCCGCCTTTGTCTATGATAGATATAGGCATGTTGGAGGTGTTCGTATCAGATGGGGGGGTTCTCTCTAGACTTCTTGGCGAGAGCTTGTCCAGATGGATGTCGATTATGCACATGATCTGCTTCCTTACTTGGTTTCGCCGCCACATCTTCAGCAGATTTGTCTTTGTTGTATGTGTTTTCTGTAGCCTCTTTTAAACCATCAAATAAGTTTATTATTTGATCATGTTTTAGGTGACTGCTTATCAGAGAGGGAGGCTCGAGATCTCATTCTGGTCGATTCGTTATAGGGTGCCGATCAGAATGATCAAGGAGCATATCGATGAGGCTCTAAAGGGCTATCGACATGCCCAGGACTCTTGCCCTGAGGATGTTGAGCCGGTGAGTCCTTCGAATGATATTTGCATGTTAATGACTTGATTTTTTGTTTGTAGATTCGGCGTGAGGATGCGATGAAGATGCTAGGTGTTATCGACGCTCTGAAGTACGGCATAATCAAGTTGCGGCATCAAGCGAGCTGTCGGAGGAGCCTGGATGATGTTCAGGAGGTATGTTTGTACTTGAATTCTTTTTATCTTGATGTTTTTCTTTTGTATCACTGATCATTATCTCTCCTTGTGTTTTAGGAACGGCGGAGGTCTCGTTCATGTTCGAGGCATGGAGGTTAGAGCAAAGGAGAGTCCAGCTGCCATCGGAGGTCTCTAGAGGTCCAGCGACATTCTCTACCTCACTGGAATTAGCCGCCCCCTCAGCCTTTTAGTCTTTTTAGCCTATGTTTAGGCCACAGGTTTCTCCTTTGGGTCAGAGCTCGCATTCGATTCCGGTGTTTTTGACGATGCCTCAGCCGACGGTGCCCATGCCCTTGGAGCAATCAACTCAGCCATTTGGGACTAATGGGATGCAGTTCACAGGTTAGTCAGGACCTTTGCTGACATTGACTTCGACAGGAGCTGTGGAGTCAGGCAGGGACGCGACTCCACGTACTCGGATGATGGAGGGACTTTTCGGCGCGCTATTTCCTCACCAGAGTAAGGGGGAGCTTGACCTAGACTTTGTTGCTACTTAATCATCTGGGTCAAGAGAGTTTTGACCGAGGGATCTTATGTGTACTTATTATGACGACTTGATTCCTGACACATGATCAGTATTATGACTACTTTGTATTTTATTCATATTATATACTTATTTTTCATAAGTGGAGGGTACCGACTTTCTCCCGAAAAAGAAAAACAAAAAAAAAGATGTAAAATATACAGAGTTTTACAACTTCCCCAAAAAATAAAAAGAAATAAAATGGAGTAGGTTTTTAAACTTCCCCAAAAATAAAAATGGAGTAAGTTTTTCAAACTTCCCCAAAAATAAAAAAAAATAAAAATGGAGTAAGTTTGTAAACTTCCCCAAAAATAAAAAGAAGGAAAATGGAGTAAGTTTTTAAACTTCCCCAACAATAAAAGAGTCTTGAAAATTTCCCAAAAGAGAAAAAAAAAAAAAGAAAAAAAAAGAGTAAGGGTTGTCGCCAAGTATGTTAGAGCGGAGCAAGGGGAATTGCATGGATACTCTGCTTGTTAGACTGAATTGCTTGATCATGAGAATGAAGTTTGCATGATGATTGTTCAAAGGCCAAGAGACTAAGAACAATTACGTCATGTAGTGTGATGATATGAAGTTCATGTTTTGATATGTACTTAGGCCAGGAGGCTAAGCATGATATCACTACAACAAATTGACCCTTGTGTCACGAGTAAAATCGTGGCACAAGTTTAGAATTCCTGCGGCTATGCAATTTAGCCACGGGAATTTAGAAATTTACTGCCGTGGCACAAGAGGTCGTGCCTAGAAATTTTCCACAGGAAAATGAAAGTTGTGGCAAATTTCGATAATTATGCCACGAGTATTCATGTGGCTAAGAAATTCTCTTGCTACAAATACTAACATGGCTAAAAAATTATTTGCCACAAACTCTACCGTGGCTAACAACTTTGTTGCCACAAGTATTAGCGTAACTTATAAGCTTCTTTGCCTAAAATTCTCCCGTGGCAACAAACTTTGTTGTCTTAACAAATATTACTATGGAAAAAAAATTGCTCTTTTGTAAGCAAAAGCAGTGCAGACAATTAATACGTATACATAAAAGTTACAAATTTTATATCATTTGTGTTTATAATACATTGTTAACTAGATTATTACAATATATATTTATGTTCGTGTCTTCTACTTTAAACCAAAAATAATCTATTGTGTTGAAATTGATAAGGCAAGAACGCATCAGTTTACTGCTGTTATTCGGAGCGTCAAACCAGTCTAGCTTAAATAGGGGATCTCATATGTGAGCATTTTAGTGAAACTTGATGTGCTGCTGAACAACATTGAGCCCTTCTAACTCTTCACCGATGTCCTAAAACATTAAACAAAAAAGTGTTGGCAAATCCGAATAACAATTGTAGCTCTTAAAACAACCAACAAAGACTATGCAAGGGATCTAGAACGACAACAACAAAAGATGCAGCATCGGCATCGGATGCATTTGTAACAATAGCTGTAGTGGCTGGCCTTGCTGCATTAGCTGTGAAAATGGTATGCATTAGCAGTCATTGATTTTGTAATGAAGAGAAAAGAAAAAAATCACTAATATAAGTCTGACGCACGTAACAGCTGCAGCAGGGGGGAAGACTGTAGGGTAGCAAGCAACGGAGAGGGAAAGGCAGCAACAACCAGTAGAGGGGGGGAGACACTAGGCGGCACTCCCATGAAGCAGGGGAGGGGGAAAGGCAATGGCAGCCAGCAGGGAGGAAAGAATTTTTTCTTAAAAAAATAGATTAAAGTCCAAGACTCCAAGTGAAACTAAGCTGCACTAATCAAAGGGCAGCAGGCAGGGGAGGGGGAAAGGTAATGGCAGCAAGCAAGAAGGAAAGAAAAAATGCAAAAAAAAAAAACAACAACAACAAAAGATTAAAGTCCAAGACTCCAAGTGAAACTAAACTGCAGTAGTCACAGAGCAAAAAATATCTCTTAATTTGTAGCAAATGTTCCTCGAAATTAACCTTAATATATACTAAAAAAAGGCCTAATTAGAGATATGCCATAAGACCTCTTGGCTCTTGCAACTATGTTATCAAAGATAGGCCATCAAACCTCTTGGCTCTTTCCCTTTAGTTTTCTACATAAAATTATTGTTTTGTATAAATGATCATTATGCTAAAAAATCTTACCCATCGCCCTTTAAATTTGAAATGGTAAGGTTAAAGGGAATGCTGATGAAGCAGTTGGGTTTAAAGGGAATCCTGATGATGTAATAATAGAGAAGGGCTGGCATGGTACCGCCATAAGATCCTTGGAGTTGGATTTGCCATGACCAGCGACCCCATGGATTTGTTTATGTTGTCTTTGCTATTGCTCTTTCCCATCAAGTGTAACAATTTGAATTGAAGTCTAAGCTTGCAACTGATATCCGTTTGTTTAAATATGCATCAATTTCTAATTACCCAACCCAAGGAAATGTAGGCATACACATAAAGATAAAAATTAGTTAAACTAGTATTTGAAAAGTGCCATCAATCATCTATAGCTCATTACCTGATTGACAGGAAAGAAAGTGGGATTAAAACCATTTCAAACACCAGGGTGCTCTGAAGGGAATGGATAATATCAATTTGCTGGCAATCCTGTTGCTGCTTGAATCAAGTTCTGATCCTAAAAACACAATGCATGGCACCGTTTTAAACATTTAAAAAGTAATTTTAACAATTACTCCACATTGTTGCAAAATGTTACTAAAGTAATTGAAACCCAAAAAATTTCAATAAATCTAACAACTAATTCAATTAATTCACTTGAAAAATCAAAAACTAATTCAACCATAAATTAGCTATAATCCATTAATCCAACGACTAGATAATATCATGATACAAATTAAAAATTGAAACTTGAAAAAAGTAGAATGATATGAATGAAACGTTGAAAAAATGAAAAGATTTGAAATGTAAAAAACTGGAATTTACCGTGAAAGCTGAGAAACTGACGAACTGAGATAGGGCCGTCGGGCCTTTTGGCGCCGTGCGTTCTTGATTGCTCGGTGTGCCGGCCTGGCGGAGCTACGAACCTCTTTTTCCTAATTTCCCCCAAATTCCTCCTGATATAGACCCTAATTTCCCCATGATAACTCAAATTATCGAATTTCTCTTCGATTTTTCATACGTTTTGAATTGAAGAAGCGTGGAGTCGGCCTCGGTAGAGAGGACATCAGTGGAGTAGACGGCGCGGTGGAGTGGACGGCACGATGGAGTGGGCGGTTATAACGTGGTGGATGAATAGTTAGAAATGAGGGAACTTGGGGCTTGGCTTATTATTGTAAAATAAAATCACGAGGAGGAGACTTGGGTTTTTTAATTTTCATTAATGTTTTGTAAAAACAATGGTCATTGAGAAAGGGAAAATTTCCCAAAGTAAGTCTGTAAGGGAAACAATTTCTCAAAGTAGGCGCATGGCAAAATTATTTACCAAACTAAGCTTCCAGGGTAAAACGCTAACCAGGCTGGCGTTTTTATCCTTGGCATTTATTTTTTTAATTTTCAGTTAAGGCAAAAACGTCATCCAGGGTGGCGTTTTTACCCTGACTGAATTATTTTTTTAAAAAATTAACCAAGGTAAAAACGCCACCATGGTTGGCGTTTTACTCTCAGCCATAAAGCGTCATCCTGGTTAGCGTTTTTATCTGCAACACTCAGTCTGCCCTACACACAAACACAACAACAGCAGCGACAACCACAACAATAGTAACAACAACAATCACAACAACAGCTACAACCACAACAACAACAGCCACAACAATACCTGCAACAACAACCACAACAACAGCAGCAACAGCGACAACCACAACAATAGCAACAACAACAACAACAACCACAACAACATCTACAACCACATCAATAGCAACCACAACACTAATTGCAACAACCACAACAATAACAACATCAGCAACAACAACAACATCAACAACCAGTACAATGAAAAGAATGAATGCGTATGTTGAAGTTGATAATGTACAGAAAATCAATTGAAAAGCCCAATAAAATTGATAATATTTGTTTGGATACATGTACTAGAGAATCTGATTAAAACAAACTAACAAAAGAAGTTCTAAGATCCTGATTCATCTATTCTATGTAATTGTTGTCTATAAAATCGCGGTCTCCTACGATGATAGTACTGAGATACCGTTGTGAAAGGATCTGGGGCAGAAGTTTGGGGAGGAGTCTGTTGGCTGGAATATGGTCTTTCCTGTGAGGAGTACGACACAGACATGGGTATGGCAATATCCTCCTGATCGTAAAAAAAAACTGTGGGGACGCTGTAGGGGACGTGTGAGTTTGTCCCCTACTACTGTTGCCTACCTCACGATGTGAACGGCGGTGTGATTGGTCCTGGCCCTGGATAAGATGGCCATGACCATGTCTTTGTAAGCTACTCATAGTCATTGTCTTAATTTCATCCAATTGCGGTATGGTGGGATATGATATGCTCAAGTCTTCCAGTGCATCACGTATAACAAGCATATCAAACGCCTACATTAGTCAACAATCAGTCAATTTAATAATACAAGAAATTATAAATTGGGAAAAAAAATGACACCAAAAACTCACATATCTACTGATGTCTCCAAAAGCTGGCTGGTAATGCGTTGAGGGTGGGGTGTAGTTAAGGTAGATGAAGCTTCGGGTAATGTTCCTGTACCATACCATGTATGAATGGTGATACTCCATCAGGCCTTGGAAAGGCGCACCACATGTCAATGAAATGGGCATGCTGAACTGCCCAGTTCAGGTCCTCCTTTCCTCGTCGGTCTGTCTTGTGCAATTGGACACTCGTGTCACACAAGGCGCGGATGGCCTGACAAAGGCCAAACTGTCGTATGACTCTATCGGGGAGGTGAGCCTCCACTACCTCAAAACAGATGAGGATTGTCATGGCACACCACTCCATCTGATGATCACGAAGATATGGGGGCATAACATCGACTAGGTTTGGGACGTACGGATCCCACGTGATCTGCATTAAAACGCCGTCGTTAACATCATAATTAACTTATTGAAACAATAAACGAGGTGTTAAATTAGTTTTTAAGAAGTGAACTATCACCTGAGACTCGCTCAGTCTGTCAAATGCGTCTCTGTAATGCAGCAGACCCGATTAAGTCTCCGCACTAGCCACCTAATTATATGTATAATAACAGTGTTCATGAGAAATTAATAGCAAATTAAAACCATATGTGGAAAACTTAACAATAAGTCATACATATCGGCAACTGTTTGCCAAGTCTGGTGGAGGGAATGGCGATGCTCATATGCATGCTCCTGATCGTCTTCCTCCTCCTAGCGTCGACGGCTAGCAGGCCTAGTTGGCCTACCAACGTGGATATGCTCCCAATCCCATAACTGTAATAAAAAAAACACAAGTTAATTCTAGCCACCGTTATGTACGTAATAGGTAGAAAATGGTATGAAAGTAAAGGGCTACCTGAAGCACAATCAAAGGACCGCCGATCTCCCATCTAACTCGTTGGGATGCTCTGTAAAGATGTCTATACAAGGTTGCCAGACACGCACTACCCTAGCTGTAGTCACGTATACCCTCCCATTGTTCTCTAACAGCTGTAGGTAGATCAACTGTATGTGACTACCACTCTTGTTACTAAATAATAATCCTATCAACATGAACAGGTACGCTCAAGCGTATCTTTGGACGACCCCATCATCAGCATTAGGAGGCAACTCCCCAAATGTCTCTCGTAACCATATGTGTCTGAGCCCTGTGCCTCTAATATCGGTGGCCTCAGGCCTCACCCCTAACACCATCTCAACAAGCCCACGAGGGTCCTGTATAATGGGCTCTGTAACTGCCCTACCATGTAATGGGAGTCGTGTAAGTATCACCACATCTCGGAGCGTGACGGTGGCCTCCCCAACTGGTAGATGGAAGGAGTGAGTCTCTTGTCTTCATCTCTCAACGAGCGCAGTAATTAGCGCTCGATCTATCAGTGTGAAGGCCATCCTATGAAATTCGCCGAAACCCACAAAATCGATGTAATGTAGCATACGCGGGTCGACGACCCAATCTTCCACCACCCTGCCAACGTGGTGCCTGCAAAGCAAGCACCGTGCTGGATCACCCTATACAACAACAAAAAATACATTGTTGGATCAGTTAACAAAAAAAATGCCAAAAACATTAAATATTTGGTAGATGAAAACTTACTGTCTGCTCCTATATGTCACGGCTCCGATGGGTGCCCTAAAGTGTCAAGACAAAAGGGTCGGCTGGTCTTGGGTCTGGTCGTGGTGATCCCTGATGCTGTCCCTCCATGATCTCTGTTCATTGCACAATGTAAAACAAGAAGTTAGCTACATCCTAGTTAAAAACATACACACAACACGGTATTAAAATAAGACATAAACTAAGACCACTACCAGTCACCGCCCGTTCGAAACGGACAAGATCTCTTATTGTGTCCTTCTTGACGACAACAACTACATTTGCTTGGTGGACGGTTAGTCTCATCCATTTCATTTTGTATACGCTTCGACTTTGGCCGACCATGTCCTCTGACCATGCTCTCATCAGGAATGATTTTAGGCCCTCTGTATGTCCTCCATGTCGTCTCACAAGGAATAGGCCAAAACTGTGGGGCATAAGTATACGTATACGCCTCTGATCGTAGAAACTTAAGACACACGGCTAGAACATGAGAACACGGTAGGTGAAATATCATCGGCTTGTTACATGTACATGTTCTCAAATTGAAGTTAACGGTATGCTTGTGACCCCCTTTTCTGCCTATCCTCTCTCCCCGATGTGTTTGTACTTGGTATATACCAAGCTGACGGCTATAAACATCCACTGTATGGTATTTTGCCTTTCCGTTATTCTTCTCCAAAATGGCAGTGACCTTAGGTGAGTATGCATAACTATCAGCACACCTAGCAAGTGAACTATCCCTTCTCGTGTTAAAGTACTTGTTAACTCTGTGGAAAGTTAACTCGACAAGGGACATGATCGGCAGAAAACGAGCTCCCTTCAACACATTGTTAAATGTTTCTGAGAAATTTGTAGTACATATACCATACCTACGACCAGCGTCATGAAACAAGGACCACCCGTGAAACGGCACATCCATAGTGTACTCTAGGGACTTGACACAAGATTCGCCAATAGAACGCATATCTTCCTCAAATTGTTAAATGTACTCTTTCGCGTAGTGTTGGACACTACGAAACCCAACAGTGGTATCGGAGTCGCGCTCACTTTAATTATTGTAACTAATAATTAATTAAGGTGATTTAAAATGGATTTAAATTTCTTGTTTTGTTTTCTAATTAGATTAGAAACTCATTTTAGTTAGTTTTAATCTCGTATTTTTACTAATTTTGGTTGATGAACCCAGATTCCGACCCAAAAATAGTGAATTTTGGGTGGAATCGATGTTCTAAATAGTTTTTGACCCTCTTTGAAGCCTGTCCAGAAGCCAAAATCCACCCAGAAACATGTTTTTCGAGGGGTTTTTCGTTTTGACGAATAATTTAAAATCTTTAAACCTTGATTAATTATGGCATGTTAAAAGTAGATTAAATGTATGGTTGCATCACTAATCTACGTCAATAATAAACCTTATTAAGCATGTTTATGAAGTCATAATTGGTGCTTAATTTGGTGAGCTCATTTTTCACATAAACTTGAAATTTCACATTTTTGCAAATCAATTGCTTCATGTGAATGTTTATGGTGAATGTGTAATTTTGAAGTCCCTAATATGTTAAAGATCCAATCTTTAATTGTTTATTTGGTTGCAACTTCGATTTCTAAATTCCATGTTGAACTAATTGTTGGATTTAATCATTTTTGAGTTGATTAAAGTCTTAAAAGTTCAAAACTTGTGATTGAAATTTAATTTATCTTCATATTGGAAGATACAATTTTTCAATTATACACAAGTTAGTGTTGGAATTTTTTGATTAGCTATGGGTTTATTTTTCCAACCTCTTTAATTTTTTCAAATCTCATTATTAATTTATCTATGGTTAAATTAATTGTGAGTATAGCCCTTCAATTTTGTAGCATCATGATAAACCGAAAATCGATTGAAAGAATGATTCTTGAATAATTTTGGTTTGTGCACTAAAATTGAATTATTTAAGTTAGACTTGTTATATTTTCATTCTTGCTCAATTTTGGTTCTAAAATAAATTTAGAATCAATTTTATGTCATACACATATCGGGATTAAAATCCCAAGATAAAAGCACGCAAATCGAGACAATGACCGCCAAAGCACACCGCAAGGCTAGCCAGGCTGCTCTCGCAACCCACATGTGGCTGCCATGGTGTGCATGGGCTGCTTATGCCTCGAAGTGATGCTAATGTGTGGCGGTTTTGGGCTTGGTGCACGCATGTTTCTACACGCATAGTGCGGTGTGTGCATGTTTAGTGCATCGAGGATGCAAGGGTGATGCGCATAAGGTGCTACGATAAGGGTGTCGTGGTGCTGCAATGTGTTGCTAGGAAACATAAGCTTGCATGATTTAGGACCTTTGAGGCCATGTCTTGTGTGTGTGTGCAAGTGCGCTGATGTGGCCGGTGTAACGCGTATGCGACATTGAGATCACTCCCACGTGCTTGGGCCACAAGCGGTTGTGCGGGTGCGGCCATGCAAGGCACCTCAAGCCTTAGTGCTAAGCACTTAGGGATCGTAATGCATCGATGGGCTATGTGTTTTTGCTATTTTTCCGTTTTAATTATTCATTCATTTTAACGAGGCTAGGCCTCGGTTTTGCCGGCTCTTGCAAAATATTTTGGCAAAATTTGGGTAAACCGGCTTCATTAATTGGATTAATTAAGTTGGATGCGGAATTTAGTGGGAGCTTCGTTAATTACTCGAGCTAATTTATTGCGTTTTAATCACATAATCGGTAAACAACTTTGACTAGTTTAATTTGGCATGTTAATTGGATTAACCCCTAAGTTAGTTACTAGTTTTCGCGTGTTATGCTTTGTTACTTGTTTTTCGTTGTAAAATGCATGGGCCATTCACATATAGTGAATGGATGAATGGAATGCATATTTTGTCACAGGTTTTGTGAAAATGGCAACTATTGGGACCCGACTAGGATAGTAAACAGACTGCGATCCGTTATGTATATATCTTTGTAAATCTAAATACGGTCTGCGTACCGTTGCGTATTTTTGTACCTTAATATTTTAGATTACTTTTAATTATAGTAACTAGTAGTTGCATATTTGGTGGAGATGTCTCGAAGACGGCGTTTCTAAGAAGACAAGCCAAGAAGTTGCATCAAAGACCCTTGGAGATTTGAAGACTCAAGGGGTCATGCTAGTTGCCAAATGCATCTTTTACTTTTGTTCTATATATATATAATTGTGTTTATATATGATTGAATGGTATGATAGATGCATGTTTAGGATTTCAAATGTTGTGATGATTAATTAAGTTCACTTAAATTAACCAACATAGAAACCCAAGGTCCCTATAATATTGAGCCAAATTTGCCATTACAAGAACAACACTTACCAAACTAATGCGCGTAGTGATGGGCTACGCCAAAGCGAGGCATCACTACTTCCCTAAGAACGTAAGGTATACTAGGTATACAAGTTGGTCTTGGTTAAGCTCAACGATATCAGTAAGGAGTCCTTAAATGTCGTGGCAATGGAGATAAAATGTCATAAGAGCCACTACTACAAATCCCTTAGTTTCTAGACGCTGTTTGCTCGACGCCAGGTTACAAGCGTTAGCATAAAATTTAGTTTCCATGTGTTTTCGACGCTTTTCTACGTCACAATTGGGTCTTGACACAGAAAAGCGTCGTAGATGAACATGTCGTACTGCACGTGACTAAAATCCAGCCCGGGACTTCAAAATTTTAGGGAAAAAAATAAGCGGTCTATATCAAAAAAATTAAAACCTCATTTTTGGCTTTTCGCCCTCTCTCTATATTGTTGTACTCTCTCTATATCAAAAAATTAAAATAAGCCCTAACCCTAGAAGAAACCAGAGAAGATGAAGTGTTGTACTCTCCGACAACCTTTGCAGCAAGTACAATGTCCGATTAATGCCCGTGCTTAAAGCCGACGAGGTCCAGGTTGTTCTTGTTCAATTACTTTTGATTCAGTTGCAATGGATTCAACACTCGTTTTCGGCTTTTCGCCCTCTCTCTCTCTCCTCTTCTTCAACCTCCGCCTTCTGCAATCTATGTCGTCGTCGTACTGAAATATAGGGCTTCTTTCTCCGGCGATGGCGTTTGAGTAGGCTGTTATGTTCAGTTTGATCTTTAGATAAAGCTGCTGTTTGTCAAACTTTTAATTAGGGTCGCTGTTCGTTTTTTATTTTTATTTAATTTTTTCATTTTTTGAAGTTGATTTTTAATTGATTTTTTTGTTTGTTTTCGTAGTTTTAGGGTTTGTTGTGTATTGTTGATATTGATAGCTATTTCGATCAATGAAAAGGATAAATTTGGGCGGAAATTAGCTAGGTAAATTGTTGATTTTAGCTTCAATTTGAGATTCGAGATTTTCAGCTGAAAATGTTATGGAAACAGCTGGTTTTTAATTGTTCTGTAAATTGTGCACAAGGCATATTATTAGGATCCGACCTCAAATCAGGACACCGACACACACATTGTCCTTGATTTTTATGTTTTTCCCTTGTATTATTTGTTTCAGATTTCTCATTGGCGTGATCACGAGCAAGAATGTGAAAGGTTAGAGGAACAGATGAGAGATGCTGATGTACTGAACACATATCCTTTTACTTTTTGTGAGGAAGCTACACTTCAGGTATCAAATATGTGTTTACTAACTTTTATTCTTACAATACTGTACAGTGGCTTTATGAAGTTGTACATCATATACTTGCCTTTTTATTTGTTGTGTTCGTTATTGCATGTAGATTTTTGATAAAAAAAAAAAGAGTAGATGTACATTTTTCTTAAAAAGGAGCCTATATTAGAGAGGAATTTGGTCATGTGAATGCTCTTGTGGGGTTCCAGCACCAGTCCTAATTTCCCTGCGTATGTTTCATCATTTGGTTTCATGATTCCTTAATTAATGTATTTTTCACTTGTTTGTGATGGGAACTGTTAAAATTTCATCACTGAAACAGTTTTGTTGAATCTCTTTTCACAGGTCGACCAATTGTTAGAACCTTCCAAGCACGTTGGTCCCATGTTGTGGTATTACTTTCTGTTTTTTTCTAATACGGAATACCTGATAGGGTGTTTGTCAGTCCAAAACTTGACTGGGGACAGAGTGAACTGAAAATCAAAACCTTTGAGCTGGCAATGCTCTTCTTAACAAGAATATTAGTACTTAAGAATTATAGTTCTTCTCTTTCTTTCTTCCTTTTTATTTTTTATTTTTTGTGATGAGATGGTGGGGTGGGGTGGAGGAAGGTGATTATCTTAGAGGAAGGTTGAAGAGTACACTTGTTTAAGTTTAACTTACTCGAGTCTCATTAGTCTCAATAAGTAATAACAAATAATTCTCTAGTATGATGGTCCTAGCCTTCCTATTTCTATCGAATTTGGAAAGCAACCACTCTCTTTACATGTTCAATTCCAAATAAAAATACAATGTATGTAGTGCAGGTTCACAACTTTTTTTGCCTGACCATTCAAGATTCCCAGTAATCTTATGCTTTGTATTCACTCCTTAACAATCTAAAACTAGATTTCTTTTCTTTTTTATTTTAGATTATGAGCTTATGATACAGACCAAAGTTGTATATCTTGGAGGTTAGTCCTGCCAGCTGTTGACATGTTCCCTCTTTGTGGATGACCTTCCAGTTAACACCTTCCCTTAGTCCAAGCTAATGACAGGCCTACCTAGAATTTCCCTGTCTCTTTCCTGCTGTATTTTGACCACTAAACTTGCTGCAAGGATTTAGACAAGTCTAAACAGGAGCAAACTAGACAAAAAATCCATATTTTGTTTTTTTGTGGTGTTTTGCAAGTATATATGTAAACATGCTTGTGGTTATTTTCCGATCACACTTCACTTTGAAGATTATAATGCCTTTGATCGTAATCGAGCTTATGGTAACTTCATCATTTTTATACTGTCTTTCTCATTAATTGGCAGAAAAAAAAAAACGTACTTTGCTAGTTAAGTTTAGGAATTTATGATTAATTGTATGAAATAAATGGAATTTGTTTGATATCTTTTTTAGTGAATAAGGATAAATACTCAACTATTTTCTACTTAGAAATTATGTTTCCAATTCTTGGCAAGTTTTACTAATTTTGGAGTCGGTCATGTAGGGTTTCGTAGTGACCCGACACTACGCGGAAGGAAACCCACCAAGACCCGCCCCTTAATTAAAGCAATTAACAAGCATAATAAACTTAATCAAACAAGATTAAGAATAAGAATTATACCTTTGACGCGTGTTTCGCTCCCAAAGAGCTCTTACTTCAAAATCCCGAAAAGACGAGATCTCCGACGGATCGTACCCTCGACCCGACCCGAGCGTCCTAAGTCTTGAAGGTTAGTCAAGACCCGGACAAAATAACTATGAGTTTTACAAATCAAAGGTTTACTCTTTCTTAGAGTTGCCTTTTTAATTCCACTCAAAGTTGTATTCTCAATATCCCAACCAAGTGGGTATTTATAGAGAATGGGGACTTGAAACCCCCTTTCATGATCAATGTGGGATCATGTGCAATTGCAATAATTTATTTAATTCTAAAATAAATAATTAGGCAAAAGCAATCACAAGCCAACAAGTGGCAAAAGGAGAGAATGGGTTAGGTGAGGACCATATCCCATGGGGGGGACCATTGCCTTGCTCCCCAAGGGAAGCTTGGTGGCTTTGGTCCCCACCTCTCCTTAAACCGCCACTCACAAGGGGTGCTGGGCTGCTGCCAGCTAGCACGCCAGCTAGCATGTGCCAGCAAGCCCAGCCAGCTAGCATGTGCCTTCGCCTTCCCAGCAGCCTCGCATACTTGGTGCTAGGCTGTGCTAGGCGCTGGTGCTGGCCAGTGCTAGCTGCTGCGCGCTGCTGGCCGCTTAGCACTCCCCAACGCACGCACATGCCTCGCACTCCCAGTATGCGTGCTACTAGCGAGCCACGCATGCTGGCCCCCTTTGCCTCGCACACCACGCACTCACCTTCGCAGCACCTCTCGCACTAGCCACGCATCATGCGCAGCGTGCATTGGCCTCGCACCACACGCACGCCCACGCATCACACAGCAGTCTTGGTGCGTGGTGATGCTGGGCTGCTGTGCGTGGCCTAGCACTATGCTGGCGCCCAGGCCCTCGCATATGGTGCGATGCTTGGTGCTGCCATGCGAAGGCTAGCACACAAGCCAGCACACACATGGTGCGCCAATGCGAGGCAGGCACCCATGCTAGCACTTGGTGCCAGCGATGGTGCTGCCGTGCCAGGCACGCACGCACGCAGCACCCAGTGCCTGCGATGGTGCGCCTAGTGCCTGCGATGGCTTGCTGGTGCGCCTATTGCTTGCGATAGGCTCCCAGGCCGCGCCTAGGCTGCGATAGTGCCTAGCACACAATGGTGCGCCTAGCACACACATGGTGCACCTAGGCTTGCGACGAGCTAGCCTAGCCTAGCTACGGCTACGCTCACACTTGTTGCTTGTGATTTTGCGACACTCGGTCTCGACGCCCTAGGCTCGATTTCCGACGTCTGTATTCGTAAAACTCTGTCGACTCATTAAATCCTTTCGGATTAATTCGTCGTCTTGGATCGGTGATTCAATTGGGTTCGACCCGAAGGGTTCAGTTAAGATCAAGCTGTAATATCAATTGTACCTCGATATTACTGATCGGAAGCGGCCTCCACCTAGGCATTCCGATCACTTGAACTTACTGAAGAATTAGCTGTGTAATAATTCTGAACCCTCTGTCGGAAGAATACACTTGTTGGAAGGACACCATTCCTTTTAGGTCAGCATAGTTTAATTAAGGAAATTCATGCTTCGAAATAGGATGAATTGTGATGTGCTAGTTGTTTATGGGTGTTAGGAATTGTATGTCAATTTCGCTTTCGGTTGTTGTGGAAGTTGAGAATCAAGGTGATTCCTTAGTATTGACTTAGTAGAATTTACCCCGGTTCAGTAAATAATTTTGTACTCTGTAGTATTGAAAAGGATGACATATATAGATATTGGATTCATATTGAAAAGAAAATGTTTGGACTTTCAATGATTATGGTTATTATGACAAATATTATTTGCTGTATTGTTGAACTGAGTTCAATTGCTTGTGTAACAAAGTTCTCCATTTCTAAGTTACCAAACTTAATGTTATGTGGCATGTTATATGCAGTTTTTGGCTATGAGCCACATTCGGTTTTTCCGATTGGTGTCATTGTACTTGCTGATCTCACAGGGTTTATGCCTTTCTCGAAAATTAAGGTCGACTTTGTCAACTTCTTATGCCTTTTGCTTTCAGCGGTCTTATCTCTTTCTAATTTGTAGGTTTTCTACACCCCGTTTTTGAGGCATATATGGGCATGGTTGGGTCTTTCTCCAGCAACTAGCAAGAATTTTAAAGCTTGCCTTTCTTCAGGTTATAGTTGCATCATAGTGCCAGGTGGAGTTCAGGAGACGTTTCATATGGAACATGGCTCTGAGGTAAATAAGCTAAACATCCACCATTTCATCATGACAAATATTATTATTACATTAGTGACAATTAATTGTATGTACCCTAAGTTCTTTTTCTTGCTTTCTTAATGAATAATGATATGTATGACATCTTACTTTCAGAAAAATGGAACAAACAGGACTGGAAGCACTGCTTCCACCAGAATTTTTCAATATCCCTCAGTTGCATACTGTGTGAGTTTGGATTCAATTTTCTGAGATAAATAGTTAGCAGCGTTATATAACGCAAGGACTAGCGTTACATGATGCGAAAGCTAAAGTTGAAGAGTTGAGCTTCATAAACCCTTCTAAGTCCCAGCAGGGATGAAGCCTTTGAGCTGACCATGCATGGTGGAGAGATCCCTGATCTTCCTACAGGTTACGGACTTGGGGTTTGAAAGAGCGACATTTACGGGGTGCATGCTTTGCTAAGGAAGGACGGGTCTAGAAAAATTCAACAAAGGACTGTGGTAATAAATGGTAATGTGAAAGAAGAAATGTCCGCTTTGCACAAAAAAATGAAGTACTTGAGAAGGAAAATGAAAAGCTAAAAGACCAAGTACAAGAGAATAATATTTTTCTTAAAACCCTTATCAGACAGTTTTCTCAAATTGTTAGTGGAGTTAATGATGGAAAGGGTTCAACAGATCTTCTAAACTATGCCAAATCAGTCTTGGGAGTGACAAACCAACAGGTAATTATCTATTCTGATAAAATTCAAGAACTTTTTTTTGTAGTAATATAAAGGTGATGGTCTTTAGAAAATGTAGTGACTGGATTGTTTATCGCTAGGCTTGTGGGTATTTGTTTTAATAATTAATCGTGTCTGACTTGACATTATGCAATATTTAATCAAATGGCTTATGAAACTTTACTCTAATATTACAGTTGCTATAAATATCTTATCCAATTGTTATTTTTTGATTTTTTGATGACCATATGGTGGCTATAGTTTGTGATATGATACTTGATTTGATGTTAATATGATGTTTACAGTTACAATGCCTTTTGCTCTTCCCTTAGTTTTAGAGGATCTTATGGTCATGAACATATATATATTGAAGGGAAATTGTCGAAGTGCTTGCATATGTTGTGTCCACGGCTTGTGCCTTTTCACCCATGCTTTTATGTATATATTAATATATGTGCAGGGGGAAATGACGCTCAGTTGATATGCATTTGTTTAAATGTCCGAACATTGTAAGCTGTTCTCTCACCTTAGAAGTTTCTATGTGTAATGTAGTATATAATTCAAACATTTCCCTTTGTTCTATATATATAGTTGCAATGCAATATGTGAAATATAGAGTAGTGGATTTGACAGATGTCTTCATTTTCCTATAGTATTCTTATAGGAATATTCTTATAGTTGAGTTCAATTCCTAGATAATCATTAAAAGTAGATGAGAAGGGTGATATTTACATCTACTAGGTGGTTCTATTGGAGCAGTACTATTATATCTATTTTGCAAGTATTATCTTGTTTAACTTCGATACAAGAAACATTACACAAATTATAATGTCAATAGTAAAAAATTAAATAAACCCAAATGCTAAGTTGGCTGGATAAATACTGCTATGCTTAATTTCTATGTACGTCTTAGCTTTTGTCTGCCACTTGATGATGCTCATGACTTTTGTGTGCAAGCAGGTGAGGGGTGTTAAGCCAGGGAGAGTGCATGTGTGAAGCCAGGGATGGGGGCAGTCAGGGATGGGATAAAAGTGCAGTTTGGGGATGAGTTAAGTGTGCAAGCAGGGGAAAGGTGTGTAGGTAAAGGTGTGTAGGTAGGGAGAGGGCAGGTGTGCCACAAGGGGTGGGGGCAGTGTGCAGGCAGGCAATGAGGTAGTGTGCAAGCAGGGTAGGGGGGCAGGTGTGTAGGCAGGGAGAGGGAAGGTTTGCATTCAGAGAGAGGGAGGTTGGTTGTGAAAATTCAGTTGGATTTTTAATTTCTTTTTAAAAGGAGTGGTATCTGTGTGGTTTCATTTGTAATATATATGACTATTTGTATTATATTATATAATTATTAATTTTTTTTAAGGTTATGAATGAAACAGGAGAACAAAGGAAACCTACTAAAGCTGGAAATTAGCCTACTATGCACCTTCATTTTTTGTTTATAGTTAGTTAGATAGTAGATAACTTATGTAGGCTTCAATCTAACTTTTTAATTTAGTTTGCAGTTGATATATATATGTAATAATGTAATAATAATGATGATGATATTTTGGACATGGCTAGGTTTTCTTTGAACATCCATCAGTGATAGTATATATGTAGGCCAAGGATTAGATTTCATCGTTAATTTTGACAAAAACTTTAATTTTACATATGTATGTTTCATCGTTGCTTTTATGTTATATATATGTATGTATAAAACTTTTATTTAAATTATATATATAAAAAAACAGTAATAAAAAGTCTAGACGCTTTTTCTTGTCAAGAAATTTTGCTTTAATCAGTTTCAAAATTTTCCACCACTATTTTTTGTATGGACATCAAAAAGCGTCTCAAATGATTTTGGGACTGAAAACAATGTCGACAATATGGACAGGAAAAAGCGTCTAGAAATTTGGTGGTGGCGCTTGAATACCGATATTTTCGACGGTTAGTATACTTTATTAGACATTAATAAGCGTCGATATTAAAGACACTTAAAGGCGTCGCAAAATATTGGGACATATAAAGGTGTCGAGATTTGTGACACGAAAAAGCGTCACGAATTTCTCGACTCACTTTTTCTCGACGCTTTTATAAAGCGTCGAGAAAAAAAAATAGCGACGTTTTTCAATGCCGTAAATACTGGAAAAAAGTGTCTCAAAAGGGCGGGATTTGTAGTAGTGAGCATTAGATGCGACGTTTATATCGAACCAAGAGTAACTTGGAGCTATTAGCAATTGGATTGCTTACCCTAAAATATTAAGTGTTAAGACAAGCCAAAGCATTCTTAATCACTTTCGATTTTTGGGATCTTGGAATTGTTTTATTATCACCTAAAAGGGACAAATTTTAATGCGTGGATAAGACGCGTAACAAGATTGAAAGTTTGCACGTATGCTTTGAATTTCAAACTTATCATGTTATGAAGTTGATAAATGGTTATATTTTGCACTTATATTTGTAGAATTCTAAATCAAATTATATTGTTTTCAATGATTGATAAAGGAAATCTTTAAGGATGGTTCTCAAAGAAAGGAAAAACATTTCTAAAATACAACTCTCATAAATGACTTTTATAACTAAAGTCTGAAAGGACGGTTCGATATCATGTATTCAAAATACTAGGTAGTTTTAATGAACATGAAATATTGAGTTGAAAAACTCAAATTATCAATAGTTGACAACCAACATATCTTTTCGCTTCATAAAAAAATGAGTAGGACTCAATGATGTAGTAATTCAAGTACGAATTGAAGGAAAAGATGGAACTTTATTTCACGGCGCATTAGATGCTTAATTATGCCTAATAAAGTGTAAAAGTCAAAGAACTTAAAGAAATGGTTCTTAAAGTTATGAGATGATGTATGATAAGAAATATAGGAAACAAGGAACAAAGGAAAGGAATAAGATTAATCTTCTACCCATGAGTTAATGTTATTGCGTTTAACTTAGCAATTCGTTATCTTCACAAGTATTGGATACTGCTTGAATGTTTCACTTTGAAAGTAACCTCAAACCATTGAAGGCAAGCTAAGTTATTGACTTACAAACTTAGAATAAGCAAGTAGTGTTACATCAGTTGTAAGGTCATTTGTTTTGTTTAAAGTCCTTTTGAGCCAAGGCTGGAACGAATAATGGTTATTGTGTTCCATAATCAGCAAACGATCCGTTTACACACGAAAAGACTCACATTCAAAGTAAAAGATCAATGGTTGCAGGTTTTATTTGAATGGCATGGTTGTCTAAGCCATGAATCAAGAATGCTAGATTATAAACAAACATTTCCCTAACATGAAAACTCAAAGGTTCAAGTCATGGACATGATTTGTGTTCCAAACATCTTTAGCAATGTCACATCAACAAGAACATACTTAAGGCTCTATTAGATAGAATATTGATAGTTGATCGATTTGAAATCGTTTTAAGACAAGCAAGTCTTACTTGTTGAAATCGACAAAGAAAGGAGCTATTATGCTTGATATAGACAATTGACTCCGAAAGCTGAAGAGAATTCCATTACTTCAATGTCTCACATGAATTTGAAAGAATATGGCTATATTCATCAAATGTGAACAAACTGGACCTTGAGTGGCTCAAAAGTCCAGTGAATTATAGAATCGACTTGGCAAGATATCAAAACATCTAATTAGATCGAACGATGTTTGCTTGAGACAAGAGTGATCATATCAAAGTTATGAAATTGGAATTTCATAATTAGCTCCACAAAGAATATAGTATGTCTTGGCGGAGACCTCGATGCCATTTGGAAATGACTCGAATGATGATGGATCACATCCCTTCCTATAAAGTTCTTAAGGATTTGCACAAATGACTAGTGTTACACTAAACAAATTTGTCGAAGCTAAGAAAAGACACCATATTCACTTATGGATAGAAATAGTTTCTAGCGTCTTTTCAGGTGCTCAGTGGGAGTTCATTGGCTCAGGGGGAGCTAAGTGGCTCAATAAGGGCTAAGGTAGCTCAAGTGGGAGCTAACTGTTTTTTTCACAACGAACTTTTACCCAAAGACTATATACATGTCTCTTTGTAAGCATTCAAGTGAGACTACGGGCATCACTTCCACAACCCAATTGAGAACATAGTATTTGTTTCTCTAAGTGGTGTCTTTCTAGAAAGTAACACATTTCCAAAACGACAAGTGGGAGGAAAATGAACTCGATGACCATCGAGATTAGCAACAAACTTAAACTGAGTATCTCCGAAGACTTTAGAAACGCTTCATGAGAATGATTGATCAAGAATACTCAAAGGACTTCACAAGTGCCTTAAATGAGAATTCAATCCTCACAAAACTTTAGAAGTGATGGAGTAAGATCAATATAATCAAAGGGCTTTAAAAGCACCTTGAAACTCAGTGATTGATGCAATTACCCCGTATAGGTATAGAATTCACCAAAGGCTTGGATTGAATCCTATAAATTTCTATTAAGTTAGAAATAAACCTAAGACTTACAAGCATACTATTTACCATTCGATGGTGAGGGAATAGTGTCTTGTAAATTTAGCTACGACAAATCCAAATTCCAAATAATGGTTAGAGGCCATAAAATCCAAAATAGACTCCATGTTTGTAAATCATGTTTGGAACTTGATTCATTTTCATGAAGGGTGAAAGACTCATCAATCGCAAATAAGTTTTCAAGGAGAAAACTGAAAAATGTGAAATGCATAAGCATACATAGCTAGATTGGTTGAAAAGGATACAATTAATTCACGGCGTTGATTTTAATAAAAACCTATTCACCAATCAGAATGCTTAAGTCTTTTCGCGATTATTCTAGCAAAAACAAAACCGCCTTCCTAAAATTAGATTTTGGAAGAGACTACGGAAATAGTCTAAGGGTTTTGTAATTCTAAATAATTCTAGATTTGAAAACAAGCTCAAGAAATCCATTGTGGGATTAAGTGAAGCATTGCATGTAGGAAATGGAACATGTATTCTCATTAAGTTAATAAAAGGTTTGGCTTATGGAGAATAATAGAAATTCTTATGAGCAAGAACTTTAGTGGGAGCAAGAGTCAATCTTGTATGGTCCAACAAGAAGTTAACGAACTCTATTGTGAAATGACTGTCAATGCTTAATGCTTAGATTTGAAAGGATTTTCGACAATGGACCAAGCAAAAGGAGATACTTAGTACATAGTGAGAATTAAGATCTATTGGATAGACTTAATGAAATGTTTAAACGAGTAAAGGATTTACCGTGTTAAATGTTTGGGGGTTTTTTATGTGTCCTACGGGAGAGTTACAATTTCCTAGTATGCTCCTTCCTTCGCCTGTACCTGCACAAATAACGGAGACTCCGGCTGGGGGGTGGGAGTTCTGCCTCCGAAGATTAAGTTAGAATCTTTTTGAAGAGGAAATAAGAACAATAAATGCTTCTCGATTGGAGAGCGTTTGCAATGGGATTTGTGTTTGGTTTGTTGTTGGAAATTTTTGTTAATCCCCATAAATAAGGTCTGCCCTTACTGTTTATAGTAGGGAAGAGCTGTACCTCAATTTAGGATACAATGACACGTGTCGCAAAGGGATTGGGCCTTTGTTGACCGTTGCAAACTTGACACGTGGCAAGCCTTATAGGGCCACGTGTCTTAGGGGTATTTTTACCCTAAACATCTGCCCTTCACAGCGTGACGTGGCATGTCCACGTGTCGCCTGTGACAAGTGTCAGACGCATGGGAGGAGACCGTTCGTCTTCTTCCCTCCTTTTTTCAAATTTTATGTTTTTAGGGCAGAAGGCACCGTTTCGCCTTCTGCTCCTTTTCTATAAATGAGAGACTCTCTCTCTCTCCTCCATACTTTACATATTTTTCAAAAAATTTCTGAGAGCTCTATTACAGGCTGCTACTTTTAAGATTTTCGTGCATCCGGCTTTTCAGAAACTTTAGACATCCGGCTTCCGGTCGAGTGTACTTTCTTCAATTCAGCAAGGTACCGACTGTCCCTTTCTTTTTAATTTTAACTTCTGTTATTGAGGACTTTGAATGTTTTACCCCATCCGGGTTGCATGCCGCCTGGGGGGTCTTTAACCCATATCCCAGTACTGAACTATCTCCCTCAATTGGCATAGCTCCGTCTGAGGGGTCTTCAACCAAATAGAATTATTGATATACGTGTTTTATACAATGGTTTTCCCCGGTTTTACTTAGTAATTTTATATGGTTTTGAGCTCTACGGAGCCATTTCTTGCTAACAATCTCTTCTTTAGTGTATTCGATTGTTTTAGTAAGCTTTTCAGGAATATGAAGCGTTTCTAGGCAATTGGACGTGTTTTTAGTAGATTCGGAAGAGTTGATAGCCAAGAACTGCAATTTATGTGGAGTGCCCGACCGGGCATGGCTTGCCCGGGCAGACCGGG